CATTTCTAGAATTGCACATATTTACAAGAAAAAAAATATGAAAAAGTGGCAAATATGCAAGGAAAACAAAAACAATCTTCCACGATAAAAGGTACAAATTTATGATGTTTAAACTAGGACATTATCTGACATTGTAAAGTCAGAAACTTGTAAGAACTTTGAAAGAAAAATAGAAATTTTCCAAAGCAGAAGATCCAAGCTCTTTTTGTGTATCGGAACAACTTGTCACAGGTAAAGTCTCGACATAAATGCCTTCTACAGGATCTAGACTACATGTCTGGCCCAGAGATGGGCCAGACATGTAGTCCATTGTCCATTGTGTCTTACTGTTGACATTTCTGTGTCTTTTTCTGTCAAAGTCCAGTTTAAATGTCTATTAGTTGCAATGCTCCAAAGAACCTTTAGATGGCAGTAACAGTTTGCTAATCAGGATAAACGTGTCCCCACTCAGAGCTCTCACTGTGTGTATCACACACTGTCTGTTTGGGATTGGATGTGTTGTTGACCCAAAGCACATACATGTGCTCATGTCAGTCTAAAAATGAAAAATCTACTCTGAAAGCTTGTGTGTGCTGTTTCTGTGAGCCTGTGGTTCACAAGACCTCGAGCTGTTCCAGATTCAAACATTTCAACGAGGACAAGGAGAGGGCAGCCATCTTGCTGCCACCTTTCTGGTGTCACATGTGCAGCTTTCTGATTCAAATCAAGTCTTCTGTGTTGGACACATGAAGGCGCTGTAAGGACTGTTTCTCATGCAGAAAATCCTCTCTCCCACTGAATTGAGGGGTAAATGGCCAGAGCAAGAAGCTTTTCAGCCAAATGCAGGAAATCATGACAAAATAAAACGATTTCCTGCCTATAGCTGGGTTTTCCTACTATCAGTCTGTGTTTTGTAGAAATTCGCCATACTTCCTTCTTAAAAGGTGTGGTCCAAAGTTCCTCTAGGTATATTGTATGTATATTTTCTCTCTAGGCCGTGTAATCAGGCAGTTTTGTGGTGTCTTATCCACTTGCTTGCCAGTAGAGTTTTAGGTGACATATTGAGAGGGAATGCAAGCACAATGTAGGACTGCAGCTCGCCAGCGATCGACCTCACGTTTCTCTGGAACAACTACTTTAATTAAGGAGTTACAATTAATTGGGCTTGAAGAGCCAATAGAGTGATCTGATTATATTTGTGCAGTAATACTGAACAATTTTCCCAACTGGATCAGTGTGTAATGGACAGACTGTGGAGATGTCCTCTATTATCTTGTTTTTATGCTGTTAAAATTAATCACCACAAATTACCTAAATGCAGGCATTTCCTGTAGCATTGTGAAAGTGAACCTCATCAGCTGAAAATGTAACAAATGTTGCAACCTTAGTCCTCAAATGAACTGTGTTTACCGGAATGATTTGTTGAAAACAAAACTGTAAATAGGCCGTTGAGTTTTTGTTCCAATCAAAAGCAGATGCTAACGTCACCATAGTTAGCAGCTAACAGGTCATGAGCTCATTCTCAGTGCCTGTTAATCAATCCCATGTTGAATCCAGAAAGGCTGCAGCACATTTTCATAGTGCTGGAGGACTCCTCCATGATTTTGTAACAGAGCGTTTATCAGCCTCTTCAACTGCAAATCTTTCTCAGTCAGTTCCATCGGAACATTTTTTCTTTGTGTCTATCGTTGTTGATGTTCTTTATGTAAGAGTGTTGGAGGATCTTAGGTAAACAAAGAGGGTGGTGTTTATTTATTCATGTGTCTGTAGAGACCAAAAGGGTTCAGCTGTGTATAATGAAGTCCAGTAGTCATTTTAAAGTGGGACAAAACTTTTTCTGTTAATATCTTTCTGTACTCCACACTTCTATGAAGAGTACATTCACCACATACATTTTTAATCAAACTGCACTGCCCTCCCTCTTCTAATCTTGAAAGCTGCTTGAATTTCATTTTATGCATTGTTCTAATAACACAAACTGTTTCCCTAGATCCTGTATTTTCCCTAAACCCTCCGTTTAAAAAAAAAAAAAAAAACAAATACATCAGTTGGGATTTCTCCATTATCCTTATGACTGTAGAGATGCAAAGCAGCTAAAGAAGCCAAATTGCAACTAAGGAACAACTTGAAGAAGTAATAGAAAAGAAAAGGGAGATAAATTATGATGTATGTGTTTTCTAATTAGGTTAGTAAGAGTTTGCTTGTGTTGACTCAGAAAGGTCTTGCTTAGTTTTAATGGCGTCCACATGGCCACGAGTGCGGCTCCCATCTCCAGACCTTGAGCAGAAGCGTATTTGCCCCTGAGCAACAGCCAAAGCCAGCCTCATCTTCCAAGCAGAACGTCCAGAGTGCAGTGCAGCAGAACGTGCCGCGATTTATTCCTAAAGTAGCAATTTCCTCTCTGTTTTTTTTTTTTTTTTTTGCTGTAAGTCCTTCTTATCTCCCTTAAGGCTACAAGTGTGAAGAAGCAGCACAATGACCTCGCTACGCAACTCGTTAAACTGACAGCTCATCTTCCTGTTTCTCCTTTTTTTTCTTTAATTTCTTCCATCTTCTAGCTGCTGTAGCTGTGATTTTGCCACCACCAACATGAACAGCCTGAAGAGCCACATGAGGAGGCATCCTCAGGAGCACCAGGCTGTGCAGCTGCTGGAGCAGTACAGGTGAGAAGCAGAGGTGGAAACTACATCTGGCTTCAAAATGAGCTGAACTTTATGAGCCTCTGTGTCAGAACAGGAGGGAGGGTTCTCTACACCACCATGAGGGATTTGTGCCATCAACCCATTGGTTTCTTGTAACTTGTAATGAGTGTTTACAAGCTCTTAATGTGCACCCTCCAATAGGGTCTGACAATAAATCAACAATATATGTTGATATAATAGATAATATGTCTGACAGAATATTCAGTGTTCTGTCACCATCCTAAAATAATGACCCAAGTCACTTTTTTCCAAAAGTTTTTTTTTTGTTTGTTTGTTTTATCTAAATAGTCTTTTGGCAATGATAATTTTGTTCATATAGCACAGTTTCAGCAACAAGGCAGTTCAAAGTGCTTTACTTCAATTAGAAGAAAATTCAACAAAACAGCAAACCAAAGAAAAGGCAAAAGAAAAAAAGAAATTATAAAACTACAAAAACGGTCAAAATCACTTTTGGCAAAATATGACGTAAGCCGTTATATTAGGAAAGTGAAGACTGAATGTTCACCGACCTCCCATCCAGTACCGCACAGCATTCTGGGGAATGTGGGCAGAGGAAGGACTTTAGCGACTTCACCTCTCATGACGTACTAAGCAAGGTGGGCGACATCGACTAAATCACTCCCTCTTTGGTTACCTAGCAACAACCTGTTCTTGCGCAGCAGCAGTTTCAGGTTTCGTCACTGTGTTTCCTTATTCTTAAGGAAGTTTTTATTCTCCTTGTAGCGACAACTTTGGATAAAACAGGAATGGTGGTCACGACACAAGTTTGTCAGTATTTCAGATCTTTAAAACAAAAACAAATCATCAATTATCAATATCGACTGATATGAAGCACTGATATCATAATACGTTTTTAAATTATATCATTCTGCTCTATCCTCATATAATAATAATAAAGTTTTGCTGTTTTGTCTCTTTTGCCTGAAGTTGTTTAGAGAGCCTTTGTAATGACAGCAGGACTCCAGAGACAGGTTCAAAAATGAAGCAGCAGATCAATAAAGCTTTGGATGAGATTAAAGATCAGAGGTCAGTTGATTTATACATAATCTTAGATAAGGTAAGACATTTTAGAAGCTAGTAGGACAAACATAAATTGCAGCAAAAGACTTGAAAATTTGCAGCCAAGCCCTAAAATTGCTCTGATCTTTAAAGGTAACAAAAACAAAACTGTTTCCCAAAACCGAGCCATCGACGCGCGATCACGATTCCATAAAACATTGAAAATACAATTAGTGCAACTTTGCCTTCCACCTCCTAATATTTAAAATCACTGCTCCTTAATTTGTTAAATCATTGTTGTTATTGGTTAAAATGTAAATGCACTGTTTGTGCTGCGTTTTAATGGCCAGGTGGGGGCTGTGCCTTCATTATTTCTTTGTCAGATAAGCAAGAAAAGTAGTTAAATGGGAAACTGCTGCTGCCAAGCCAACAACAAGCACTCAGAGCTCTTAAGTCAAGTAAAACAGGCCACAAATAAAGCAAATCAGGTTAGAGAGTGAACAAGAATATTAGGGAAGGACAGTTCATTTAGAAGAAGCTCAATATTCTGTCTTCAGTTTCAGTTCCACTGAAGACATTATTGGTTGACCGATTGACAATGAAGAAAAACTCCAAAAGCTTCAAATTAATTTTTAAATTGAGTAGAGACTTCACTTTTAAAAAACTAAACATTTTTTATGCTTAATCAAGTTTAGTAGAGTGTCTGCTTTCCATTAAATTCATATATCTCGAATGAATGCCTTAAAATGTCTTCAATTTAATTTTTTTTATGTAAAATGAGAAATTTGTGTTTCTGCGATGCTTAATTATAATTAAGTAGGATTCCCCAACCAGCCCCTGTATTTATATAGTTTTCTGTTTTAAATTGCATTCAAGGTGGCATAAAAAAATCTTAAAATGTCTCTAGGAGGCTAAGCTAGGTGGGCTGCATCAACTGATTAACTCACTCACTCTCTGGTTACCCAGCAACAACCTGTTGAGTAACTTGTGCAGCAGCAGTTTCAGGTTTCACCACTGTGCCTTCTCTCTTCACAGTGGAAGATGGTTGTTTACAGCACAGGAAATTTCCAGTAATCTTCTTGGCATTGAACTAGAGCATTACATGCGTCATAGATAAATGTTAGCAATGAGGTAAAACTCAAAACCTCAATACAGAACATGAGTTCAGGAAACAATCATTGCTCAACCGCTGAGAGCCCAGACCCTCTAGGTGAATCAAAGCGTAGAACAAGGGGCTGGTTTTTACCAGGCTAGGTTAGTGGATGCTGTTGTCCACTTTGCTCAGAGCCTGACTTGTAAAGTTGTGGCAGTGATTTTCTTATGGTAAATGTCTGTTTTATTCACACTAAATTCCAGAGTTTACGTCTCCAGGTTGTCTCATTAGTGACGATTAGTGACGGTAAACAGGAATCAACTTAAGGCAGCATGTGAACATGTTCTACTAATAGGAAGAGCTGTGGTGCCAACTGGAATCAGATGAATGTGTGTTTGGTTCTGCTGCTATAGCAGCACCAGCTGTGGCTGCGGCCCAGGTTGTTAGGTTCTCCATCTGGACGTTATTAACGCAACGTCTCTCCAACAGCTCCGGGGAATTCCTCTGTGTAATTACTCAGTGGATGAACAGCTTTCTGTGGTCAAACAGCAGTTCACTGTGACATCATGTTCCCTTGTTTGACACGTTTGTGTAATACTGGGATGATTGATGATATATTAAGCTTCAGTTTGCACCAAATTTCACATTATAATCAGATGATCCCTCAGTGACGCCTGTTGGCGTCATCAACCAACCTGGAAAGAATCACAGAATTGAGATGGAGAAGTGACAAACTTTTCCTGGCTGATGATGATTCCTTGTTTTCTGCTAATGTTGGTTTTGGGTAATTCAAGTTTGCATCTTAATGATTTTACACCTTAGCCTGTATTAATACAATAAAAATAACTAACCATTAAAGAAATATATGGTGCAGGTTTCCTATTAGAGGTAGCAACTTTAAATTCAAGAAAAAAAATGAATTAAAGCTGCAAGCAGCCTCGAACAGCCCTCACAGCCTCGAACGGCCCTCGCAGTTCAGTACCGCTCCGGCCTATTGGCCACCGCGGCGTTGTCAAACGGTGTTTTGACTAAATTCCGAGAGGTTAGAGTCCTTGTCAAACGGTGTTTTGACTAAAGTCCAAAGGGTTGGAGTCCCAGTTGACGGTGTCTCAACTAAAGTTCTACAGCTTTTTATTTCTCTTTCTCACTGTTTACGTTTTCATTATGTTTTTTCAATCTCTTTCTCACATGCTGATTTTATTTTAATTATGTAAAGCACTTTGAAATGCCTTGCTGCTGAAATGTGCTATACAAATAAAATTTGATTGATTGATTGATCCAAAATGGCCGACTTCCTGTTGGATTTGCACCATGGCTCCCAGAGACTTTTTTGTAGGTCCTGACAAGATACACATGTGTGCCAAATTTCATAATTCTTGGATAAAGCATGGCTGGGGGCTTATTTTTT